TTAACAAACAATGAGATGACATAAGCCACACCTCTTTACTGTAAGAAACGATGTAATTGGTTCCTTGCGTCACTCGTTGACTCTGACTCATTTTTATCCCATGTGTATTTCACCCATGAATGAAAAGCTGTGTAAATTTTAGTATTGATGAGCTAATCCGGCAACCAATGAGAATCTTGGTCACTATTTGAGAGACTTTAAATAGTACCTGAAATATTTATATAAAGCCATAAAATTTCAAAAGTAGGTCATGTTGACCTACTTTGAGTTGACGTACTCCAAGGACCAAATATGCAAAAACTCACAAAATTGGTGATTCTAAGCCAATTAGTACCTGATATATTAAAAAAAACCCATACAATTTCAACAAGCATTCCGCCATAATTCCGTCAAAAATCAATGAAGCGGAACGAAATGCGAACTTGATGTATAACTCATCAAGGTAAAGTCACATATGAAAAATCAGGTCAACATCTGCAAGCGTTCAGAAAGAAATGCGGAAAAAACTGAATCATTGAATAGGTCGTAATTCCGTCAAAAATCATTGAAGCGGAACGAAATGCAACTCATCAAGATACACTCACATACCAAAAATCAGCTCAATATCTTCAAGCGTTTAGAAAAAAAAGTGCGGAAAACCAAGTGGTACAGACTGATAGACAGACAGAGGGACAGACAGACGGACGGACAGACAGACAGCTAGACGGACAGACTCAGAGGAAACCTATAGTCCCCTCCGGTTTCACTATCCTCGGACCTTTAAACAAGGCGGACCAATTATTATGCGACACCGGTCAACATGGGATACTTTCTCCTCTTAGGTACATTATTACACCTCTGGTGTTTCCAGGAATTCATGTTTTTGCGGTGTTCACGATTTGTTTGATTACTTGATTTATGAGATTGATCACTGTTCGTTATCTTCACCTTTTACGGTGAGCCAAGTAGGGTTAAAGTATCCGCACGTGGAGTATAAATGTTACAATTAAAATTCAGTGCATAAATTACGTTATTTAATAGCGATTCTCTGTAACCACTTAAACTTCTTTGCCAAGCATGGTCACGGATTTTGATGAAACTTTGCCCATTATTACAACTTAACACCAGAAACGTATATCAAATAAAATTTCGTTGCTATGTGTCTTGGTTGCCATGGTAACAGCCAGAAAGGTTGGAAAAAATTGAGATTTTCAGCTACTTTGAATTTTTCTGAAGCCTTAATAAAGACTCAGAAAAACAAACAAACCATTATCACAAAAACATGAAACCTTGTTTCCACTTATGCTATAAAGAAACTATTTAGAATTTATCTCTAAGTAAGTGGTAACCATAGGTACATTTGGAATACATTTTAGATGCTAAAAAATGCGGAAAAATGCTCAATATTCACTAATGATAGGTGTTACATGATCAAACTCAATCAAAAACGTAAGAAAAACAATAAAACTTTTGACTTTAAGTAATTAAGTATTGGCAATATTATTCTAAAAATCAAACTTCATGGTTGCCATGGTAACACAGTGTAACCATCTAAAATCTTTTGCTAAGATTGGATTAATGCAACTATCTTGAGGAAAAACAATAAAATTCATGACTGGCACATATAAATCCTTAGGACGTTGCAACACCGAAAACATAAGAAAAATTGGGATTAATTGTTACTTTGCACTTAACCATGGAAACAACGTACAAGTTATTTTAAAGTGATTTTTTTTTGCTGCCTTAGGAATTAACTTACCTTTTAATCAAGAAACATTATTTGACTCACCTTTAATAGTACTTATCTTGTAGAACGAAAGTTGAATATCATATATTGATAAAGTTTGTTGAAAAATACAACACTGTTGCTATGGTTACCAAGAAGGAAAAATGTTCGATTTTGTTAATTGTATATCAATTTCATATCAATATTAAATTCTATGTGCCAGCTTTTTGCATCCAGTTAGAGATTGAGTGGTAGTCAAAATTGAAAGTCAGGTTAGTTGTTCATTAATATCAATCATAAAAGTTCTGGGAATCTACATACAAGGGTACATATCCAAGGAAACAGAATATTTTTCAGATTTTCAGATTTTTATGCATATTTTTTCGGTTAATTTCCATAGCAACGCTCTATTTAAAGAATTGAATTTGAATTTTTTGAAATGTGAAAATTAGGGTCACACCAACGCCTTTAAAAAGTGATCATCAGTTATATAGAAATATATTTTCAAAAAGATAGGATAAGATTAAAACACTAAGAGAGTAAATTTAAAATCCCTTCGTGATATTAAAACCATGGCAATCATTGCCAACCTATAAGAAATATCATATTTCGTCCTTGGTATATGTTACAAGGATCTTTTGTCTATTATTTGCTTGCATTTCAACCTATAATTTTTTTTATTCTTAAGTGTATGACTTTATAAAATTAAATGAACAAAATTATTACTTTTGAATACTTTGTTTCCATAGTAACGGATGTAATAGTTGATTTACCAAACATGTTTTTAAGACATCAGGCCTTCAACTTTCAGAAACAGTCATTGCCACTTGTTTGCTTTGCTGCAAACGTTATCTGTGGGACTCTGAACATGTTGAAAAATGCCATTTTTCAAACTTTAGGACATGTTGCTATGGTAACCATGACACGTAGCAACCAATTTTTGCCTGATTTGAGTGTACGGCATCAAAGACTTTTATCATAGAGAGTTTAGAGAAATTCTGAGGCTATGCGTGCCACAGCTCCTATATAAAAGTTCAAGTCATTACAGAGAATGGTTCTTAATTCTGTAAAACGAGAAAACGTTGCGCATAAAAATCCTCTTGAATTAAGCAGTCTCCTTGTACATTCCGGATAAGAGCTGAGCTACTGCTAGGTAGATATGAATTTGAGAAAGATAGTACTGGCCAGGATTTTTTTCTTAGAAAGAATCAAAAGAATAGGTATGTAGTATTTTACTTAAATTGTGCAGAAAATGAATTACATTTTGTCCAAGACTGTCCATTGTAAATGAAAGGGGAAAAATCATGTCTCTAATCTCAGCAACATCTTTACCGATAAAAGAAATTGCAAAAATTCTGCTCTGCTCTGCAGGCGACACAAAATTTAATCCACACGTTGGCTTTTTATATATTGTGTCGATAGGCATTCATATAAGGATTCTTGCACCAATGTTATAACAATCCCTTGTATAAATATATGTATATATTTTTGTTACACAAGCGAATTGATTCGAATTTGAGAACTAGAATGTCAATTACTTTAGAAAATTTTGAAAATATTTAGATACTTTTAAAGACATTTAAAAAATACTTTATAAATTAAATACGTCAATAAATCAATTCTTAAGGTATATTGACTTCTAATAAACTGACTATTTGATCTCCGCATATGAATGCGAAACGTCTTGATACAGAAAAAAACATATGGAATACGAAAATGCGTGACTGTGCTAATGATTTTTTTTTCTATTTGGAGTCCTATTGTGCAAGTAGGTCTTATGCGCTAAATAACATATAATTAAATATCAGTTAAATATATACCAGTGAGCTTGATATAAAAAATACTACAGAGTCTGACACATCCGTTTCATATTTCGATATTTTACTAGAAAAAGATGTTAATTGTAACCTAACAACAAAGCTTTGTGATAAACGTGATGACTTCAACTTTTCAATCGTCAACTTCTCTTACTTATGTAGAACATACCCTTATCACCTGCTTATGGGGTTTATGTCTCCTAGTTGACTTGAAAAGCAAGAGCATGCTCTATATACGGACAATGTCTAAAACTGACAAACAAGTTGATAAAACAAGATTATTAACAGTCTCGTTAAAAGTCATCATTTTGAAAGTTCGATACAATGGCGTTGTCAGCAAATACAATCTATTAAGGAAGCTCTAAACACTGCACACTAAAGAGTTCTATTTGTAGGGTAGTTTTATTGAGTTAGAGTGATCTGCCCTTAGAAGAAAAATAGAATAAATGGGAATCTACAGTTAATGACATAATTTCTTATGAATTAAAGTGTTCTTAATGTTATGTTAGACCAAGATTAAGTAATTGAATACATTTTTCCCATTAATTTTCCCGATGCAAGTAAACAGTGATTTCTGTTCACAAATAGTTCATTGTCTTTGAACATTTTTTTCTGCAGAAATGAGGCAGGCACCCTATGTTAAAAAAGAACTAGATACACGGAATATGTGCACCTATATATGATATATTTTTCTCGAAGTCCAAAAAGCATTTTTCTTTAGTGTTTAGAGCTTCCTTAAGTCAAATACTGACTGACAATTTTCATACTACTCGTAATTGTTAGGCCAATTTTTACACATTGAATTGTCTATAGAAATTTTCATTTTTCTCGATCATGACAAGGAGCACACCGCGAATGTGACCGGTCGACAGGGGATACTCACTCCTACATGGCACCTGATCCCACTTCTGATGCTTAAGATGTCTGTGTATGCTCTGCTACTAATTTGTATTGTTTGAATCGACTTATGAACTTTATTACTGTTCGTTATCTCCATATTTCATTGTAAAGGAAATGTAAATCACTTTTGAGAGCCATAGCAAAAACAAGAATATGGTGCCAACCAGTTGGAGCAGCGTATTTGTAAACAAAAACTCTAACACCGTTCTGGTACGCTTGTACAACCTCTGATCAAGATTGGGATGTAGGAACTATTATTCAAGCCAAGTATCTGAAAGTGAAGGAGGTGAAAAATTATGTGAATCTTCTCATTTAAAGTTTGAGGACATAAAACGTATCCAAGTCATGGAAGGTAAATTGTCAAGGGAGTTTAAAATATTTTTCATTAAAATCTCAGTTCCTTTTTTTATCATGTGATCAACAGTTGAATAGTTGTATATGTGTTCAACTGCCATGAATATCCTCTATCTATTCAACTGCTAGTAGTTGAATAATCAAACAATACATTAAACAATCACAAAGGATGGCGTCACTGATATTTTTAATACTTGATAACGTTAAGATACACATACGTTAAGATATACATAATTCAATATTCCTTATGCTTTACAAATTTTTATCGTAATTTACATAATATACATTAGATCTGGATTGATGTCCTCTTCTTAACTGCAAACACAAAAAACAAATGACCATTTATTAAAATAGTTAAACAACAATCATACATGAGAGAGAGAGAGAGAGAGAGAGAGAGAGAGAGAACACTAATTAATACAAACATCTCCTCTGCCCAAAGCAGACTAGCAGAGTCAAAGATTTTTTTTAAATTTAAAGAGTACTCGAAGAGGATTTGAGAAGATAGTATACCATTTGTAAACTAAAAAAAAAGAGTCAGTATTATCAATATGTTTGTTAATTTGCGCTGATCAATCTACCAGGTTCAATGTGCTTGTTACATTGATTTCTGGTAAATTGGGATTTTTGTATCTCTAGTCTCTAGGGACAAGGCCGGTCTTATAAACTGAGATCAGATTTTTATTTTTACATAATAAAAATTGTATGTAGTTTTTCGTGTTCGTAGATAAAACGTTTAAGTTAAAATCAAATGATTGATAAGAACATCACTTCGTTTTATTTTTCAAAAATCATTACTCATAGCTTCTTAACTATTTAAAAATGTCTAGAAAATGGATGCATGTATTCAAGAAGACTTGTGTTCTGATTCGAATTTGTTGATCTCTGAATAAATTGTCACTTATTTTCCATTGCCAATTTTCCATCTTTGAATAAGAGGAGCGGAGAGAGAACCGGGAATGTGATTAATATGACAATTGCAAAATAAAATTACATTTTCGCGACCAAAAAAGTTCAATTTTTAAAAAAAGACAATACAGGGATGTTTCTGTCAACGGAAATGGAGGTGATGTAGTAAGAACAAATCTGCAAAATACTTACACTGATCCAAAACAACAAAATTTTCGCTTGATCCAATTTCTGAATCTCTTCATTCTCTGAAATGTAGAGAGAGGATTTCAAGGAAAAAAATACAACTTTGACTGTCCAGTACAAAGAACAGATAATAACACTATTGTGTATACTTAAATCTACTATAAATTATGCCTATATATAAATGTAGTTTAGTCATGTGATGTTTTACGTTTACAGAGCTATAGTTACCCCAACTTTCTTTTGCTTCTTATTTTCTATCTGAATGTTTTCCTCTTTCATATGTTTCTCCTGAAATTTAAGAAACAAAAAAAAATGTTACCCGTAAGAACTGTTTTTTCTCCAGGGTATTATTTTTTAAGACAAAATCCGATGATAATTTTTTTGTTTGTTTTTAAAGTGAAAAGGGGCACAAACAATTTAAGAAACTTGATACCTGTCGTATAAAAATTTTGTTTGAAATTGATCAAGTGGTTGTAAAGAACTGAACATTAAGGTCTGACGACACGTTTTTACAATCTGTTTTGTATCCCTTCGTTATATACAACAAATTAGTCATAATTATCATTATCTTATGATTTTTAAACTTTTTTTCAAAATGACTAAATAGATAGAGACACCAAAAAATTGTGATATTGGCAATGCTAGCGATTTCCAATAGGATTAAACAGTAAATAACATCCACCGGTATCTTGCACAAATGCCTGGTAAGGTGCCTTAATTTTTTTGAGAGGAAACTTGTTAAAAGAGCAATAGTTCAAGGACAAATTCTTGAAAAAATCATATTGAAGAACGTGTCGCCTGACCTTAAAAAAAATGTCTTTGTCTCTGGTGAGCTAAAATATTGAGTATACTCGAGTATTTTAAAATTGAATGCTTATATTTTAATATATCCTGCACCTTAAACAATAATCAAAAGTTGAAAAGTTTGACACATATTTTTGTCTATGATCCTGAACAATCTGAAAAGACTAGTTTAAGAAAATGCCGCATCCTCAGGCTAAAGATATTTTCATGTTAAGCACCTTTACATCATAAACAATCTCGACTTAAATGGGTTTTCAATATTTTTCCATCACGATGTTTGGACAACTGAATTCAACATTGCTACCTTGTCCAACCGATTACTAGTAACCTGAGTTTATTATAAATCCTTTTAGCAGTGTTTCTAGTATCATGTTGGTTAAAATAAACAGAGAGCTTTGTTTTACCTTAATTGATAAATAGTCTTTAGAGAAAATTATCATTTTCTTAAATTTTACTCGTACGCAAATTAACAATCATTTAAATATCATACAAATGGATGTATTTTTGAAATTTTGATTTTGATTGGTAAAATTTGTTATGATCCTTGTTGGTTGGTAAATCACAGAAACTGCCATGTTTTCGTTATACCTGTATTAATTTTTCTTTTAACTACTACCTTTCAATTTTTTCTAGATAAATGGGAAAATTAGTTGGTCTAACCTTGACATATTTGATGTACAAGTGGTATCTAAAGGTCCGCTGAATGACAGTAGCAGCTTCATGAAGTATCTTTATCCTCTTTCTATCTCGAAAACCTCTAGAACTCGATTGAATCAACACTATGGCCTTCTTCATTCTTTGGTACATGCATCTAGTCTTATAACCTTTATAAAATGTCTGAATATTAAGAGCAGCTCCTTTAAGGACCAAGAACTTCCTTTGATCTGCCCGTGCTAACCTACAAGCTCTGTAAGTGTTCTGACATACAAGGACTGATTGTCTTAGTTTTGTGTACAATATGTATTGTTTTCTTCCTTTGTACCATGACTGAATTAACCTGGCGCTTTCCTGTTTCAGCAACATCAATTTCCTGGTCTGTTTTCCTCTGTAGCATGACTGCATTGTCACAGCTGCTTCACGTAAGGCCAAGTACTGATGACGAACCAATCGTCCATGTAACTTAGCTCGATAGCGCCATTGACACACCTCAGTGTATTTCTTCAACGTCTGAAATCTCTGTACAGTAATAAGCTTTCTGACCATGGCTTGCATATGGATAATTGCTAGTTGTCTTTGTTTTGCTTTTTTTCTAGCTATCCAACCTCTAGCAGCCTTTTGAAGAACTATTACAGATTGTCTTGTCATCTGATATTCTTTTTGAGCTCTATTTCTTAGCAATTCATTTCTGAGCCAATTCTGTATTTTACAGGCCGCCATTCTTTTTACTAAGAATAAATCTCTGTGAATTTTCATGAGAAAGAATGCCTGTAATTTTATGATTGCTTGCCTCTTTTGATTGTAGTCTCGCTGCTGAAGATGCCTTCTGTAGTGGGCCTGAATTGTGATGGCTGCACACTTGGCAATTAAGAATTCCTCTCTAACTTTTGCTGCACACATTTTTTGACGATATTGTCTCTGAATTCCAATTACGGTATATCTCAGTTTTGCATACCTGCTCTGACAGAGGAATTTTCTGGTACCCGACTGTAATTTGACAATGGCTGCCTTCACTTTTCTGTATTCTTGACGTATCAAGTAACCCCTAAAGCAAGCTTGAATTGTAATGACAGCAACCTTTAGAATAAGGTACTTCTTTTGTGTCTGATTCATGTCAACATACGCTCTATATCGTCTTTGTATAATGCACACCGACTGTTTGATTTCCATATACCTCTTCTGGACTAGACAATGTCGTATGAAAGATTGAAGTTTAATGGCAGATGCCTTCATTTCTTTGTATTTCTGTTGGGCCTGACATTTTCTGAAAAATGCCTGAAGTATAATTGCTGCTGCTGCCTGAAAAATTTTTGAAGTACATGTAGATCAGAAAAAAAAGCCTTGTGAAATATCTGCTCTTACCTCCTTTACTTTTTTCTATAGTCAAACTGTACAATGAATATCATTTTTACAGATATTCTGATTTGACTATATACCTTCTTTTGTTACTTCAGATTTAATGGACAAATGATATTTTCAGTAAACAGTTTAACCTTGGAGGATATGTAAAGTTCTGTGACAAGACAAATGCTTTTTTCAAGCAGATTATAAATATAAAAGTATTGTTACATTAAATATTCCTAAGTAGGTACCTGTGTCTCTTTGTCAAAACAATACCACGATTCTGACATCAAAGAAACGAAAGGGGATGGTTCATCCTAAAAAAAAAAAAAAAAAAAAAAAAAAAAAAAAAAAAAAAATCTATAAACATACCCATAAAATTCTACGAAAATTTAATACATGGGATTCGGAGATCTCTACCCCAACTTACAGATTAAAAAAAAAATTATGATTTAAACATATTTTATTGAACATCGTCTAATTTGACGCAAGAATTTCTAAATAAGATTATTCTTTCTAAAGAAAAAAAAATTAAAAGATGCCACAAGGCAGTAGAAAAACCATAAGTGTTATCTTTAATATACTCTTCTGTTCTGTCTTATCACTGATTTTCATCAGGTTTGATTTTTAAATTGTTTTCATGGTTTGAAAATACCCACGAATTCATATCCTCCATGAAATATTAAAATCGTTAATTAAGACAACCCACCTCTACTTCATCAAGAAACATAATCCTGATAAAACAATAGTTTTTCTTCATATCACAAACAAATAATTTTAGAATAACTATCAAAGTAGCCACAATTGTTCAGCTACAGCATAAAATGTAAGAAGAGTTCTAGGAGGTATGTCTCAGTACCCCCCCCCCCCCCACACACACATTTTTCAAACCCAAAAATAAAAATTCCGAAACTTTATTGCACGTCTCCTGGCCCAAAAACCATAAATTGAGTGCAGACTTAAGATGAATTTTTTTTAATGTTGTGGGACTTCTGAAATTACGAAAGCCGGATAGGCTCATTTTTGACAAGATAAAAAAAAATTAACTCGTTATAACGAGATAATTATCTCGTTATAACGAGTTAGTTATCTCGTTATAACGAGTTAGTTATCTCGTTATAACGAGTTAGTTATCTCGTTATAACGAGTTAGTATCTCGTTATAACGAATTAGTTATCTCGTTATAACGAGTTAGCTATCTCGTTATAACGAGTTAGTATCTCGTTATAACGAGTTAGTCATCTCGTTATAACGAGTTAGTTATCTCGTTATAACGAGATAATTAATTATCTCGTTATAACGAGATAACTAACTCGTTATAACGAGATAGTTTTCTCTTTATTTTGAGATTTAATAGCAATATAGGAATAAAAATAGCTGTATAGTTTTAATGCCATTGAATTTTTAGCTAGTAATTATCAGTCAAATTTAACTTGAACAATTGATTAATGGTTGAAAATTTAATTTGCTCTGGACTTTACTTATGATTAAATTACTATCTCGCTGTCAATAATCATATTTTGATAAGTATAGCAACTCTAAGGCGAACACATTTACACATTAATTCGTGAACGCCTCCTCAAATTGTTGCATTAGGACGCGATATTTTTCTTTAAAAAATATTGCCAAATATACTTGCTTTAAACTTTGGCAATTTATTTATGACAACTATTTCTGATGAATGACACTATTTCGACATGTTTTCGACGACTTATACACTTTCATGTATCAATTTCTATACCGCTAAAATTAAATATCAGAGACAATACAAGTGCAACATATCGCAAGCGTTTATGCAACATATAATATATACAATTACAGTGTGATACATATGTTATTTTTGAGATTCAGAAATGTTTTGATGAAGGTGGATGGTGAGACATCAGCAGTTAGATTATAGGCGTAGTAATAGGGGGCTAATGTCCCCACCACCTTTTTTGAAAAGGGGGCGGTCAAGAGTATCTTTGTGCCCCTTCCTCCAGATTTTTTTTTTTACCTGAGTAAATATCTCTCGAAAATAATGGCGAATACTCGTAGTTGGAATATCAAATCTCTTTTCTTTTCGATTTTTTTTGCTTGTCAAATATTTTACTTGGTTTACCCCCCCCCCCCCTTCCTCGCCTTGAACTTTGTGACTAAGCTTATGCAGATTGTCCACGATGATTAGGAATGATAAAGCAAAAATGATATTACATCCTTCTAAGTTATAAGACGTTCGATCTGATCTGCTGATATTAATTGACATTTTATCTAATACTCTGTCATGACTCACTGTTCATATTTTTTTCCGGGGAGGGAGGGGGGTCCAAGCTGTGGAGATTCACGTAGACCTATTTGAGATTCACGTCTATTTGGTGGATCCTATGTTTACCACATGGTGACAAAACATCAAACCAGAGTTTACAAAACAAAAAAAAGTTTACAGAGTTTACAAAGCCAGTTCAGTTTTTTTTTACGTAGGATTGATCAACGAATTGGGCTAATACTACATGTATATTATTAATACAACATTGAAGCAATATCATTAATTATTTTCCTCATCACAATATTTGTTATGTATACTTTGCAAGCATATAATTTTAATTTCAAAAGGAGGTTGATGATTTTTCTTTGGGGGGGGGGGGGTAATAAATGGAGGATATTCAATGTTTTGTAGCTGATATGGAATTCATTTCACGAGTGGGACAGGATTTTTTTTATATTTTCATGAGTGCGAAGCACGAGTGAAAATATCAAACATCCTGTCTCACTATACAATACATATTTTTAGGCATAATTTATGCTTGAAATACATCTTAATTAATGCATATCATATTGTAAACTTTAGATATTAAACTTTCATTCTATACCCAAAAAGGATCACGAAAATGTCAACTGTTTTTACTATTGTCAAAGTGAGGAATTTCCTACATGTACTACATTTCAGCCTGCTGACCTTCACCTTTTTATTGTGACTTTCGTAGAATAAAGAGCCCCAAAAGTTTTTTTATTCTACCACATTGATAATAATGAAAAAATACATATTGTACATGAGATTTCATGCCAAATTGATAAATTAAAATGTTTCTTTCTTTTAATAAACAAAAGAAATATATAAATTATTAAGAGATAAGTACAGTATTGTTCTTGAAATTCATCATATTTATTATTGAGGGGAAGGAGGGATTGATGATAAAAACAACGTGAATTTAGTTTTTTGTCAGACATTGAATTTTGATCTTGCCCCTTTAAGACGATAAAATTGAACTGGTATTCCTTGTTAACAGGCAACGAATTATCAAAATATGGACGTTAAAGCCTAACAAATGGTATCATATCGACATTATTAATTCGGAATATATGAAATAATGGGATTATTTCTATGCATTTTTTTATTGCGACAAATATTACGCAAAAATTATCATAATTTTAACAAAGTCAAGAAAGCTTGATCAGGGCAGTTAATCAGCCAGAGTATATCTCCTTGTACAAGTTGACAAAATTTTGACGTTATATACATTCCATTTGAAGATGATTCTATTTTGCAATTTTAAGGTATAACACAACAATATGAGGCGATCATAAGTTTCCGTATATTTGTCTTCGGTCTTTTCAATAAACAATACTAATCAAAGGCATAACACAAAAAACTAGTATGCTGTTGTTCCAGTTAATCTTTATCACGCACACTTCAAACAAATTTTATCTACTCGCTTCTGTATATTTCCTATAAATAATGGTATATTCTTTACTTAGATATATCAACTCTTTAGATCAATTTTATCTCGTTATAACGAGATAACTAACTCGTTAAAACGAGATAACTAACTCGTTAAAACGAGATAACTAACTCGTTATAACGAGATAACTAACTCGTTATAAAGAGATAACTAACTCGTTATAACAAGATAACTAACTTGTTATAAAGAGATAACTAACTTGTTATAACGAGATAACTAACTCGTTATAACGAGATAACTAACTCGTTATAACGAGATAACTAACTGGTTATAACGAGATAATTATCTCGTTATAACGAGATAACTAACTCGTTATAACGAGATACTAACTCATTATAACGAGATACCAACTCTTTATAACGAGATACATGTACTAACTTGTTATTACGAGATAATTATCTCGTTATAAAGAGTTAAATATTTTTTTTGTCTTGTCAAAAATGAGCCTATCCGGCTTTCGTATGAAATAATCAAGAAAATAAAATAAAATTTTCTTTGAGTGTTTGTATTTGAATATTTTACAAACGTGCACTTTCATTCATGTTTTGTAGAATTAAAATCGAGATATTCAGAATCTAAATTTTGACTTAAGTCTGTTTTCAATTTATGGTTTTGGGGACTAGACACCGCAAATTATATTCCGAAAAAGGAAATGGGTAACTGCGAAAATGATTAAAGAATATGGAAGAGAAAATAGCTAATGTAGCATACAGATGGCTGATAAATCAAAGAAGATGACAACTTAACTTTCTTTTAAAAGGACTTCTTTAATAAACATTTGAAGACAATGAAACGCAAAAAAATAGATAAATAAATACATAAATGGAAAAAAAAAAAGGTAAAAGTGTGGTAGGAAAAGAGTGAAAAAGAAAGGGGATGGCAGGAGGTATTAAGGGTCATAAAATGGCATTTATTTTTCTTTATTAATTGTAGTTCTCACTAAATTTGTTTCATTTTACTCCTTTCAGTTACGGACAAATAAAAAAAAAAAATAGCAGAGGTTTTTAAATATGTATAGTGTAAGATGTGCGGTGTTTTTAACTTGAAAAATGTTTCATATACCCTAATCCGACCTTAAGCAAATGAACATTTTATATCACGACGAAATAAGTCCACATACTCAATCTTTAATATATTTTTCTTCCATCAAAATTCGTGCAGATAGCTTGGACAATTACAATGAAACTTCAAAGTAAAATGCAAGCAACATTCAAACTGGTAAACATTAAGGAAGCTTTTAAGAGCTATTTTTCAATTACAAAAATTTGCCATGGAAAAGGAGGAAAAAATCAGTTTCGGTGATATACTTTGTTATTAAAAAAAACAATTGCTAGACTTTTTTGTCCCCCGCTTTCGCGAAAGCGGCGGAACATTTAAAACTCTCATTCGTCTGTCAGCCTGTCCTTCTGTCAGTCTGTTTGTCGGTCAAAGAAATGGCTTTAAAATGGGAAAAGATAGGGTTTTCACATTTCACATTTCCGGCGACCTTTCCAAATATGCTACGATTTTTGACCCAGTGGCCTTGATCTTAAAATTTGTCCTACTTTAAAATAAAAAAAAACGTTCTTGATAACTTTTTAATGAGAAAAGAAA